CACTTTCAAAAGTAAGCGTGGGGACAAACCATGGAATGCCGGTAATGTAATGAAAGCTACGCTCAGTTTAACATGAAGTTGATACAAGTTCGTTTCAGAGGTGTAACTTAAAACGCGGCCCCGCAATCCCAGGGATTGCACCAGTGTGTCATGGGAAATTTAATGTAGTTGTTTACTTGGCACACAGCTGTTATTAGTGGTGTTTTCACTAGACGAAATAAGCCGTTGTCACGACGCCTTTTATTTGAGAACGTTGTTAAAATGTGTGTGTGAACAGAATACGTCGTTGTGGTGTCGGCGTTGTTGTCACCGTCGTAAAAGGGGTGGACCAGATCCTAAACGTCGGTGTCACACCGGCTCTTGCACAACGCAATGTGCCATGTGAACACAATACAACGCTCAAACGCCCTCTGTCACCGACTTATTTACTAGTAGTATGCTTGTCATCACACAAGACGGCGTCAGAGGTTACAGGTTAAATGTCGAACTGGTCAGACAAAGAAACGAGATTACTGATATCTGTATGGAGAGAATCGAATATTCAAAGAATGATGGACGGAACGTCCAGGGATGCTAGAATATATGCTGTGATTGCAGAGAAAGCGGCTGAAAAAGGGTTGGACAGGACGTTATATAAAGATTAGTAACCGTGGACATACACAATGTATAGTGTCGCATAGTACAACGTGTGCCATAACGTGTCTTGTCGGCTAGGCAATAATGACGTTATGCTACGCGAAAAATGGCTCCAACAAATTAAAAAACAAAATCAAAAACAAACTTCGTGATACGTCTGTGTGGCATAGGCATACCCAGTTGCCCGACGCCAAATATACACGAATATATGTGCGACTTTTTTGCGCAATGTTGTCGGTCAACAAACATTTCATTGCGGGGATATAGTTCAGGGAACATAACATTTTTTGCGGGATCTTTCAATTTATTTCGAGACACATTTGTACTTTTAAAATTGTCGAGAACGTTATATATTAAATTCGAGAAGCATTCGCATACTCGAAGTATATTGTCCGGGAATTGTTTGTTGAATAAATATGTTTCTATATGGAAGAATCAAAATCCAGCGTAAACATCGTTAAATTGCTTTAATCATTTCACATTTGACAAATAAAATTAAAGCCACTGTAGTTAAATATATGTTCGTCTTTATTTGGTATAAGTATGGGTTGAAAAAAATGCTCATTGATATAAATTCAGGTATGAACGTTTTCATAACAATGTTCGAACTTTTGAAGGCTCAATGACACCCCTCTGCCTAGACTTGCTTGCCATCTGATGCGATTCCGATAACAAATTCTTGAAAAATAAATATAAATTTCGTAAACGAGGGGTAAACGCGAAAGTCCTGTAACCGCGAAATCGCACCAGATCTGCAATCAGTGTAAGCGCCCTCACATTACCGGCCAGATTGGGCTTGTAAATTGGGATATCGCGGTTACACGACTTTCGTGTTCACCTCTCCTTTACGCAATTTGTATTTATTTGTCAAGAATTTGCCATCGTAATCGCAACAGACTGCAGGCAAGTCTACCCTCTACCCAGTTTTAGGTCTCGTGACCGCCGAGCGTGTGTCTATCTTTTCTGCATATAATGAAAACTACCGTTGATGGCAGTATATACAAACAATCCAATTTCAAACTTTACCATTATTTTTTTCTACTTTTATTTGCAGTTGTTTTTTTATTTTATTGTTTTTTTCCTGTGTGTAGTTTTATTTTCACTGTAATTGTCTGCTTGTCTTTATTTACATCTGTATTGCATTTTAGTCAAAATCCTAATAGGGATACGAACACAATAAAGAGTATTATTATTTACAAACATAAACGGCAAATATCTGTCCCGAACGTATACATGCATACACGCTCGGGACAGAGACTGAAAATCAGTCTAATGTTAATGAACTACAAAACGGCGTTAAACATACACACTTGTTCACATTTTCAGACTTTTTCACCTACAGTGGATGACAAGTGCCGTCACGTGATTTATCTTTTCCTGTCCATGCATAAACGCAATACTTAGACAACATGCGGTTCACTTGCATAATAATCAGTAGATTCGGAACTGTTGGATTTTGGAAAAATTGCTTCGGATTAATTCAAAGTTGCGTTTGTGCTGTTTCCTTCAGAATTTTGCTGTTTTCACCGGCTCTTCGACCGGCGTCACACAGCAGCTCGCGCATAAATATACTTGGTAGAGTGCGAACTCCGAGCATTTCGACTAGTCCCCACATTTTCTACTCTGATAATGTAGATATTGTTAGTAGTTTACCATTTTTTGTGTTTTAAAGCTCAGACAATTTATAAAGATTATAGTATTGCATTCATTTCATATTTTATTGTTTTGTACATAATGCATTTAATTTTAGTGCCGTAATTAGGGAAGATTTGCAGGCTCCTGAATAATAAATCAATATAACAAGCAAGGCCTAGCACACATACGCACACATACATGTCTTACTATCGTTGTGACGCCACACATTGGATTAACTTTTAATATAGTTGAATTAACTTTTAATATAGTTGCGATATGAACTCGATTAAAACGCGTTCCTATATAGGGTTGCGTTTTAATTGGAGTTTAATTAAACTCAATTACAATGCAATACAATGGAGAATTGCACTTTAATTAAGTTTAATTAAACTAG